AAGAATACTGCGTTATCTTAAGAAGTTCCCGGGTGCTGGCTTATTATTCCAGAAACATGGACATTTGAGAGTTGAAATTTACACAGATGCGGACTGGGCTGGATCTCAAAGTGACAGAAGGTCTACTTGTGGTTACTGCACCTTTGTAGGAGGGAACCTTGTTACTTGGAGGAGTAAGAAGCAAACCGTGGTAGTTCGATCTAGTGCTGAAGCTGAGTACCGTGCAATGGCACACGGAGTAGCCGAAGGTATATGGATAAAGAATCTATTGGGAGAGTTGGGTTTTCCAGTTGGTAAACCCTTGACTACTCTGTGACAACAAGGCAGCTATCAGTATCGTTGCCAACCCGGTACTACATGATAGAATAAAGCACCATTGAAGTTGACAAGCACTTTATTAGAGAGAAAATCATCACAGGCGAAGTATGCCCTCCATACATCAGCTCTAAAGACCAACTAGCAGACATCTTTACAAAAGGGCTAAACCATTCCAGACACCAAGGTCTCTGTGACAAGTTGGGCATGATTGATATCTATGCTCCAACTTGAGGGAGAGTGTTGACAGGTGTATTATATGTACTGTACGCAGGATTAGTGCCTGTAGGGGTATTTTTGTAATTTTGTAGTCCTCTTGTGTTGTACGGCCAGTATAGTATAAATACAATTGCTTCACTCGCATGAAGCAGTGCTTTTGAGGCCTTAAGTCTGCAGCCTCTTCTTCCTTCTTCTTCTTCTTTCTTCCTTTCTTCTTCTTCTTCTGCTCAACAGGTATTATCTCCATTATCTTTAAAATCATGATGAAAGATAACATACTTCTCTTGAGCAATGGGTTCTTCATCATAGATTGGAGGTTTGGTCCAATCAACATGTTGTTCTTCAACAGATGTTGTTGAGGAAAATGGCCACACAAGATTTTCGTTACAATCCTCAACAATATTAACGCAATCAACAAAGTCATATGATTTTTCCATCAGACTCTAAAATTGCCAACTCCTCCATGGAATTCTAGTCCATAAATTCATTTGAGGTTATACCTCCATTAAACTTCGGGAACTCAAACTTGAGATTTGTTTCATCGCTTCTGTTCACCACTTGCAACTATAGTTGGCTTGGTTGCTTGCCAAGTAGAGGAACCTCCATGAAACTTTGGGATCTCAACATTGAAACCTGTTTCCCACTGTTTCTGGTCACCACCCGCAACTACAACTGACTTGGATGCTTGCCTTGATGATGAAAAGGAACGAGCGGATTGCATCGGAGTTGCTATCCCCTCACAACGATTTCAACTCTTGGGCAAGTGCATTGACTTGTCTTCTCAACTTTGCCACCTCTTCATGTGTTTTGTTGTTCAGTTCCTGCTCCATGATGTGAGCCACTTGTTTCTTCTTAGGATCCATAATCCAAACAAGGATTAAACATGAGCTCCGATACCAAATGGCACAATACGGAAACAATTCACGTTCAAAGAAGTTTCAAAGAAAAAAGCAAAAACCGAAATAAATAGGAAGAACAACTCTTCATTGAATACTTAAGAGAAAATCAACATAAACTCCCTTAGTATTGCCCTAGCTACTCTTTATATAGACTTCTTCACACCCTTATGCCTCCTACAAGAAAGTTTCATAATCTAATAAAATACTCCTTATTATAATCCTATTAAATCTCTTCAAAAAAGAAAGTCCTAATTGAATACAAATTTGGAAATCATGATGTAACGCTAACTTGGTAAATATGAACTAAGATAAAAACTCTGTGATGGCGCCAACTTGGTAAAAACGAACTAAGATGGGTTGTTGAAGCCAACATAGTAATGATTTAATCAGTTAGTTTGAATCCCGTACTGCACCAGGGATAAAGTTGTAATCTTATGTTTTTTAATGTTTCCCTAATATAAATATCAGTTTGAAGGGTTGGGTAAGGAGTTGCCGCCCTATTCTAAATTTCTTCTTCTTCTTAATACAAACAATTGTAATATAGTCTTATCATGTAATTTGTTTTTTTTTTCAGCTTAAAAACTTTCAAAAATACTATGAAGCTTATGTTCCTATGAAATACAAAAGTTACTTGAAGAAGATGAAAAGGTATCGTATCTTGGATTTTGTTATTTGTATGCATTTTGCACTGAATTTTTTTTTTTTAAACTTTTTGCTTTTCCATTCTGGTAAGTGCTGTCATGCCATCTTATTGGTTGTTTCTTGTAAAAATTATTGCATGCCTTAAGATCAGGGGAGTGGGGAGATCATGTCACCTTACAAGCAGCTGCAGATCGGGTGAGTTTGTCTTTTGGTTTATTAGGATCTTTTATAAACATGCATTTGCATGATTTTTCAGTTTTCTTTGCACTATTCTTGATATTCCGAATTTTCTTGATATTTGGCAATATATGTAGACATGCTATTTGTATTCAAGCAAAATAGTAAGACTAAATCAAAGATGAGGAACTAGCTAAATGGCTCATTAGTTAGTTCTCTTTGTGCTAGATGCCGTGCAAACAATCCTATAGCCTCTATTTTACTAATTTTAATTTTTAACATTAACAAAAAAGTCAACTAAACAATTAATTCTCAAATGTTTGGTAAACAATGTTATTATTTTTGTAAACATAAATTTGTTATTTTAAAATATAAATTAAAATATCAATTAATAATTTATAAAAATATATAATCGTAACTTAAAATATATTAAATCCATTAAAATTTCTAAGATACATATCATATACAAATTCATAATTTTTAATTACTAAAATAATTATTCCATTATTAATATTTTTATTTCTACAAATTTTCTAAAATAAAAAATCAATTTTGATATAAATGTAGATTAGCGGATTTGATAGATTCAACTTATATTATATTCTCAAATATTTTGTAAACAATATTTTTATTTTTGTAAACAATAAATATGTTTTTTATTTAATGTAAATTAAAATAATAATTAATTATTTATGAAAATTTTAAGGTGCATATCATGTGCAAATTTATAATTTTTAAGTACTAAATTATTATTCTATTATTAATATTCTTATTTGATAGATTAAAAATCATTTTTTGATATAAATGTGAATTTGATAGATTATTTATTCTATTAGTTTATAAAAATACTAGTTTTGAATATTATTCTTTTTAATCTTTAGTTGGAGTTATTGAACATAAACATATGTTATTTGTTTGGATTGCATGACATTAAAGTTAATAAAAGTTAGTGTATTTCATTTATTATCATAAGATGAAGGTGGGTTAGTGGTTTATGGATGCTTTTAAGTCTTTGGCATTTGGGTGACTTGGGGTTCAAATCGCACCAACTGCACTTTTTTTAATAGAGACGTAAATGCCAATATTTTTGTGTGTATCGGTTGGTATTGCCCTGTACAGTGTGTATTGGCCTATACAGTGTGATACAGGTGCGTATTGGCCTGATATACACGACCCAGGGGATATGTACCTATTCGTAGCATATCCTGTATCCTCCATTACTGATACCAATATGTTACACCCCGTATTGGATGTGTTATATCGATATTTCAAACCTTGGGTATGATCAATCCTTACACAGTTAAACTCATGCTTCTGAACAACAGTTTGAAACAACGATATCTATTTTGCATCCATGTAATCATCTGAGTTGTAGAAATTATATGTTGTGAAGTACCACTTAATTGTTATAGAGACAATCATAATATTTTCATCCAGAAGTATATTTTTCAAGCTTCATCATTTTATAAGGTACTTTTATGCAATATTTCTCATTTTAGAAATATCTTGTAAGCTCATTAAGTCTAGTGTAATTACTTACAATTGGTGGATATTTGTAACATTTGTGGAGTTCTTTTTTCCTGAGTTTTTTTTTTTTTTTCCATTCTGGATTTTCATGTTGTCTTAAATTATATTTTCTGTAATTGATAATAGCATTTGCTGCAGTTTGAGGCCAAAATTTGTTTACTTACCTCCTTTAGAGACACATGCTACATCGAAATTGTTCCCAAAGATAAAAGTCCATCTAGAGGTAAATGTTATTTTGCACAACAAATTTTGGCCTATTCATATTATCCTTTTGACTCTTTCAAGTCACACTGTTGCAATTTGAACCTGACCATAAGAAGAGAAGGAAGAAAACTATAAAAAGAGACCTTAGGGGAATGAAGAGTGGCATGATTTGATTTGCATCAAGCGTTTAAGCATGCTTTACTTTAGTTTGTTTGGGTAACAAAAAGGATGAAAAAGGGGTAGAATAATAAAATAGAAAAAGCGCTTGCAAGACTTATGTATTTAATACCATCTTAAGCATTCATTTTCCCAACAAAATTTCATGGTAGCCTTTATATTTATATCTGAACAATTCCTTAACAATTCATGTTTCCCTTGGTCATGTCAGAAGAAATTATTCATACATCTAAGTTCATCTTTAAATGCATACAAACTAGCTGATTTCCAATTTTATATTTAGCTATTCATAAAAAAAGTCTTGTATTTAACTAGGGTCTTAGTGCACTGTGAAATGAAGCATGCAATATAATTTTTTTATCAATATAAAGTATGCAGAATATGATAGCAGTAAAATAGAAATAAAAAGAGAAAACATTTAAGGAGGAGGACCAAGAGAGGGGTAGACTATGGATCAACACTATTAATATTTTCAAGGAATTGGCAGAGTTGAAATTGTCACCTTTTGTCTTAAGAGTTCAAAATCTCTCCAAACGAAAAATAAGCTAAGAAACTTTAATTCATTAAACTTGAATTTGATGTCAACACACATTTGTAAGGTATGGGACATCCATCCTTGTTGGGGGTTCTAACATAGGATTTAACAAAGCAACTTCTATTCTTGTTTTGACTGATGCAGTGAGGTTATACACACTGTTCACTTATCATTTTTTTATGCAAATCCAATTTGGTCAAACCAGACTAAGCATTGCAAATTTGACCCTTTGTTCATTTAAGTTAGAATTCACAAAGATGTGTTCATATGGATTACCATTAAAAAGAGACTTTTCATTGTATAATACACATGATCTCCCCTATAATATGGCAGCACATCGATCACACTAGTTACTTGTGAGCCACCAAAGAAATCCCTATAATTTCTCTCTCTAATTGCAAAGTTATAAAATTCCTAAAAGGCTGCTTGTTTATCTTTCTTAAATCTTTATTTGAAGTGGTTGTCTCAAATTCTGCTTAAATTTTTGGTGTTTTTTATGTGATAAATTATTATTTTTGTTGTTTATTATAGTTTATTAGTTTCCTTAATGATACCTGTTTTCTTTTTCAGAACTTATACATGTATAGTTTTAGAGAAGAACTAATAGGAATATGAAAAGAAAATAAGGAACATGCTCCTAATATATTTATATTCTGATATGACAATTATGAATATGCCCTTAATTAGGTGTCCCTTATTAGTGAAACCATAAAAAGACATAATCACCCCTGATTACAATAAGATATTCTCATCACTCCCCCTCAAGTTGGGAATAGATATCATTCATTCCCAGCTTGCTAACATTTCTTCTCAACTTCGTATTGGGTACTCCTTTTGTCAAACAATCAATAAATTGATCCTTATATCTCACAAAAGGAAGAACCACATCTTTATTTGCCACTCGTTCTTTGATAAGATGCTTACAAACCTCAATATGTTTTCTATGTTTATGCTGAACAGGATTGTGTGCAATATTGGTAGCCACTTGATTGTGTGCAATATCGTATGCAATATAGGTTTGTTAACTTAAATACCCATCTAAGAAGAAAAGATTCTTCTAGCATAACAATTCAAACACTCCATGGAACATAGCCCTATACTCTACTTTAGCACTTGACCCGGCCACCATTGCGTTTTTTCCTCCACAATACAATATTTCCACCAACAAAATCACAACATCCTGACATAGAGTGCCTACCATCAGTAGAGCCAGCCTGGTTAGTATCTGTATAAGCTTCTAATGAAAGATGCCCCATGGCAAGTGTAAAGTAACACCTCCGGCCTTCCCTAGAGTTTTTTCAAGTAACACAAGATCCTCTCTACAGCATGAGCAATTTTTGGCTAATCCATGTATTGACCAATGTTTTAAAATGTGGAAGCTTGATGCTAGCTGTTCAACTACTTGGAGGTGTGAGGTGTAGTTCAGAACGTAAGACCAAGCACGAGGAGGCATTAAGAGGAGGGGGATGATGAGGAAGAAGAGGAAGAAGGATTTCATCTTTTTTTTTTATTGTTTGTATTTTATGAAAGTGTCTCGTATTAAGAAGAATGAAGATGCATAACAAAGACCCACCCCTTAGTACAAAAAAAGGGCTGTATAAGGTGTTCGGGGGGGGGACCAAACTTTCTTTCCCTTTTCTTTTCTTTCCTTCCCTTCCCTTTTCTTTTCTCTTTTTGTTCTCCCTCTTCTCTTTTTTTCTTTTTCTTTTCTTTTCCTTTCCTTTGTTTTCCTTCTTTTCTTTCTTCCTATCTTTTTGTGTGTGGCATGCATAAGGGGTATGCCTCAGAGGCATCAATGCCTTTGGCAAATGCCTTAAGGTGTTTTCGGTGCCTCTCCTGGAGGTGCGCCTTTAGGTGTACACCTCCCACATTTTTTTTTTTATCAATAGAAGATGTTTTATTTTTTTATTTTATTTAACTTGCTTAACAGAAATTAGTACAACTTGGTAGTGGGAGTGTCATTCCCAAGATCCCAACTTTCAAGCCCAAAATATTACAACTAGCGTTTTCTAATTACATGGAGGCCCAAAAAAGTTGCTATCTCAGAGCCTCTTGTTGGGCTATGGAGTTGGCTAGCCCATTTTCACTCCTTCAGATCCACTTATAATTCAGCCTCTATATCCTTTGCAATATTTTCCACTTCCTTTATCATGTGTTTAAGGGTCCAAGGAACACGTTTGTTGTAACTTGCCCATGAAATGACTACCTTTGAGTCTCTTTCCACCACTATTTGCCTAAATCCGAACTGATTTTCCAGATGGAGACCTTGTAGCATAGCCAGAAGCTCAGCCTTTAAGGAATTTCCCATGCCAATCTGCTGAAAACAAATCCAAGATCCTACTTTCTGAATTTCTGATTACTCCTCCTATTCCTACCAAGCCCGGGTTGTCAAGAGAGCTTCCACCAAAGTTCAACTTGAGTTTGTTGCCTTTGGGGGGGTTCTAGTCCTCTCTTACACTTTTTCTCTCGAAGATTTTTCTACTTCAGTCCTATCTCTTTGAATATCTTTGATTGAAAAGCCATGGAAGCTGTCCAATGTTTTACCCAATGTGCTACTTTCAACGTTATGGTGTCTACCACTTCCTC